GTGAAAAGCCACCAAATTTAAAAAACAAACGGTCGAAAACTGCCTCAAATGCTAATCCTCTAAGTCTTGGATTCGGATTTGAGCAAGTGTGTTGAAGGGTGTTTGGTGTGTAAGATATGGGCAAATCCGAACCCTAATCGTAGTAGATTCATCCTCGATGTTGAAATAGCAGTTTGTATAGATTGGAAGAACTTGTGTAGTTCTTCAAGAAATTGGGGGTAAAACTCTTACATTTAATCGTCAATCTTGCTACCCATCTCAAAGCAAAAGCATCTTCTTCAAACCTAACATATTGTTTGAAGAATATTAAGTTCAAATCCTAGGAGCAACTTCAACTCTCTTTGGCTTTTCAGTGCCCATTTTAGGCTCTTCTTTATACATACGATTGCATGTGAAGCAGCAATAATGACATTATTATAGTATGTTATGTTAGTTTCTTGAAATCGTTCATTTTTAAACCTGAAGATGTGAAGGAACTGCATACAAAAAATGCTCTTTAGCACCCTTGAAAGTGATGAACAAGTTGTGGAATTAATCAAAGAGATTGATATTTGCCAACTTGACCTTGCCCCCATATCTGATGATATAATAGTAATGTTACTTGTACATAATTATTTACAGGTTGATCTACAAATAAAGAGAAAAAATACAACTTGGAAGAGAGAGAAAAAATGAGAAAAGAAATCAATTAAATTTTAAGAGGATGCCGTGTCATCGATCTATAAATGATTGTGTACATTTAGAGATGGGCAAAAATCAAACCAACTCAATTGAACCAACCCGATCGGTTTGGATCAATTTTTGCTTCAAATTTGGTTGGGTTCAGTTTCTGGGCTAGAGAAATGTGTAGGGTTGGGTTGGGTTGGGTGATGGGTTTGCCCTTCAAACCCATCTCAAACCGCCCAATCCGATCCATCAACTTAAAAAAAGTCAGAAAACAAAACCTCCTCGTCAAAGCGGAAGAAGGCAGAAACTTAGAAGCCCTAATCTCTCTCTGAACGCTGAAATTTTTCCACCCAAATCACCCACTCCGGACGCCATTTTTCAGTCGCCCACACTGATCCTTTGTCTCTCATAGCCAGTCATTGGTGAATCTTCTCCAACTTATGCCCTGAATCACGTCGAAGTGTTCACTAATGACGCCCAGTTCTTGAAATTTTTTTCAATAACTTTGTTCTTTCTTTCATTTTCTTCATGTATTTTTGTTATTTCATGCTTTCCATTGTTGATTATCCTGTTCAGCATGTTACATTCTTTAAAATCTGACATTTTGTTGGTGCAAATATATGTAGAAGCTAAATTGGAAATCATAAACGAAAATATAAAAATTAAAACAGCATAAATAAAACATACAAATCAAGATATAGAAGATTTTAATATACAGATTAAAGAATTATTAGATTTAAAAGTAATAAGACAATCTTGTAATCAACATAGATGACCAGCCTTTATGGTTGGAAATCATAGTGAAATAAAAAGATGAAAAGTAAGCATTGTTATAAATTATAAAAGATTAAACGATAACACTATAGAAGATGGATACAAAATAATAGATAAAAATATGCTAATAAATAAAATACAAAATAGCAAGATGTTTTCTAAATTTGATTGTAAATCTGGATTTTGGCAAATAAAAATGGCAAAAGATTTAATTCCTTGGACAACCTTTACTACTCCATTAGGACATTTTGAATAGTTAGTTATGCCTTTTGGATTAAAAAATACGCCCTCTATTTTTTTTAAAAAGATAGATAGTATATTTAATTTTCTTCCATTTGTTTGTGTATATATAGATTATATTTTAGTACATAGTAAAGACTATAAAGAACATATGAAACATATAGAAATAACTCTAAATAAGTTTATAGAAAATTGTTTAATTATAAGTAAAAAGAAAATGAAATAAATAAACAAAAAATTAAATTTTTAGGAATAATTTAAGAAGAAGGAAAGATTCAGCTACAACCACACATAGTACGGACAATTTTATAATTTCCAAATAAAATTGAAGAAACTAAAAAATTATAGGCCTTTCTAGAAATATTAAAATATGCTAGACATTTTATCAAAAATTTAGGAAGGAAAGTAGGACCATTGTATAGGAAATTAGCTAATAAAGGAAAAAATATTTTAATCAATAAGATATAAAACTCATTAAAAGAATAAAAGAAAAGGTTAAAAATTTATCAACATTAGAATTACCATTAGATAGTTAATATAAGATAATAGAAACGGATGGATGTAAATTAGAATGGGGAGGAATTTTATACTCCAAACCAAATAAATATAGTAATAAAAAAGAAGAAGAAATTTGTATCATATGCTAGCGAAATAAGATAAGAGGAAAATATTTAACTAGTTTAAATTATGAAATAATGGCCATCATACATAGCATCGAAAGCTTTAAATTATTCTTAGATATCGAGTTTACAATAAGAACATATTGCGAAGCTATAATAAAATTTATCAAAAAGACAAATTTTGATAAAATAAAACATAAAAGATGGTTAAAATTATATGAGATAGTAAGTAGCTACAAAATTAATATAGAACATATAGAAAAAATATATATATTTTTTTTAGCAGATAATTTAAGTATACAGGTTATTAATTTTATAACCCATTATCTTCATGATACAGATGGATCAAAGGATGATGAACTTTGGAAATATCACTCTAAGAGTGGCCCCTCAAGAATCTAATCTTCGATTCAAATGAAATAATTTAGAAAGACCACCATAAAGGGAGCATTTTCTACTTTATAATCTGTGGATGGCACGTGATTCTAAACAAAAATAAAACAGCATAATGTCTTAGCTAACCATTTTAGACATATTCATAATCAAGTAAATAGCAGAAATTTTAGTTTCTTCGCGGTAATTGAAGGTAGAAAGCTTGGTATATATAATTATTGGCCGGAAGTACTACAATAAGTAGAAAGATTTTCAGACCCATTTTTCAAATGATTTTATACACTTGAAGAAGTTTTAAATTTTTGCAGACAAATGATAGGATTTAATATTTTTTTATCTGAAAGAGTTAGACAGACTATGCAAACCACTACTTCTCAAGTATCATTATCATCATCTTCATCAATACAACTTTGCGATAGTTGTGAAATTATGACCAAAGTTGTTAGAAATTTGAATATTAGAAAGCATTCATTAAAAGAAAGACTACAAATTCTTAAAAATGAAATTTCTTCATCCCAACAGATTATTAGTAAATATCAAAATGAACTTCTTCAGTTACAAAATAGTTTTAAAAGACTTAGTTCTAAAGATACTCTTGAAATATCTATTTCTCCATATATTACTTCTATGAGTAGAAATTATTCTGATAAAATAGAAAGGCTTATTGAACTAAGAGATTCTACATGTGCAGGGCAAGAAAAGAATTTATATGAATTAGAACAAAAAATTGGTGATTGTGTCAAAATTGTTCGAAGTTCTATAAAGAATTCAGTTATACAAAAAATTATAGATTTTGCTCAAATTTTAAGTTATTATTACAATGAAAACAGATATTTCCTTAAACATGGTCCTAAATATGTATCAGCCAAAAATTCAACATTTATTAAACACAATTATCCCACAATTTCTTTTGATTATACAATTTTTGAGGAAGAAGACATTTTTTACCTAGTTTTACAGTTTGGTATGATAGATACTATATATATATTAAACAATTTTTTCTAATTTTTTTCCACCAAAGCTTAAACATATTCTTGATCAGTTAAAAGACCATCCCTTGATGATTCAATTTATTTCCAGACCCCCTCTTGTAAATGATGGAATTGTAATTCCAGCCTATTATCATATTTTAATATATGAAGGAGCCAAAAGATTCAGGCCCTCTTCAAAGGCTAACACTAAAATAAAACTTAGACAAATTGATTATGAAAGACGGATCTAAGAAACCGCAATAATGATGGAAGTCCAAAGTCATGATTTCATACTATTAGCACAATGGAATAACGGAGTTATTTTCTGCCAAGAGCACCTCGCTAAAAGAATCAGAATAGAAAAAATTCCTATACCAAATATTGAGCAAATGAATTTATATCTGAAGGCATTTCAAAAAACTAATGGAGAATTTACATAAATCCAATCAAATACAGAAGAAGAATAATAATACGTATCCAATGAAAAAGACAATGAAATGGATCCAGAGTTAGAAGAAGCTTACATTGAAATGATGGACAAATAAATGCAATAATTGAGAATGAAGAAAAGACGAAGATAGAAAGATGAAAAGACGTAAAGAAAAAGAATAGTAGTCAATTATCAAGCAAAGTCAACAAAAGAAGGAAACCAGAAGATAAGGTTGTCAGAATGAAGAAAAAAGTTGTCAATAATTTCATACAATTGTTTTAAACCCGCACACCTGCATAATAGAGATGAGCATCATGTACCCTTTCTTTCTCAAAATCAACCTTGTGCATTTTGATTTTGTTGGTTTTTTTATGGATATTTGGTGAACCGACCAACCCAACCCAATCCAACCAAATTGGAACCTTTGCACAGGTTAGGTTGGTTTGGTACCATGTTGGGTTGGGACAAATACCGACCCAATCCAACCCTCGCCCACCCATAATGTAGCATTATACTTTTCGCAATCCATTGACTTTAATTGCCTTACCCGCTACCACTTTCCTTCTTTGCTTAATTTTTTAGACTTATTGCACAATTCCCAAGTCAGGCATGTGTTTTAAATTCTGCTCTTCAAGTTTTAGTTGAGATGTGTTTCGACTCTTCCAAACAAGACAATTTTTAATGCTTTTGAATTCATTGTATTAATCTTTGTTGGAACATTTATGCTTCAAATTTATCAATGTAGTGTTATTACAAATGTTAATCTAATGATTATACTTTTAGAGTAAAAACAATTGTTATGAGTTCTCGAATTCGTATTTAGAATGCTAATAATCTGGAGATACAAACCATTGCCACAAGAAGTTGACACAATTGCCTCAAATGACTTCATTTAGTACACCAAAGTTATCAGAGGGTAAAGAAAGACAAGAATGGCAAATTATTGCTTCTGATCAATTAATTATTCGCGATATTTAACCTTGCTTGTTCAAGGAAATTCAATGACAACACGTAAAGACAAGTTGATAGAAACATCATCTTATGAAAGGAAAAACCAATAGTGCAAGGTCTCAGGGAAATAAGATTGAGCTAGCTAATCCATTGAATATGGCAAAACTAGTTATTAGAAAGTTCTCGGCTGCGGTTGCTGGCAGCAACAACTGCGTTCATCAAAATTCCCCTAAAACCAGCCTTCTCCAACTCATGAATACCAGCTATGGTTGTCCCTCCAGGAGATGCAACGTCATCTTTCAGCTGACCGGGGTGCTTTCCTGTATTAACAGCCATTGATGCTGCTCCCAATACCTGTAACAGCTACAGTAGCTGAGATTGATGAAGTTTTGATGCTTTCGGGCACTATACAAGAAGACATAATTGAAAAGTACATTTTGCTGAAGACATCTTTTGAGTAAACAAGTAGTTCATCGTGAATCAGAGCATGCACATGTCCCGAATTCAAGACTTTGATGTGGGGAAAAAATTGTATCTAAGTCTACAGGTAAGGAGTCGTGTCATAAGACAAATTTCCAAATAAATAAGTTTGTCTCTTCTCTAACAACTCAAGCTTTTAGATGATGGATTAGGACAATTCAACAATTCAAGCTTATCTGAAGTAAAAAAATGATGAAACATTGCATCAATCAATTTCGTGTTTTTGAATAGGTAATAATAATAATAAGCTTACACAGAAACGTTTAATTTAGCATGATAAAGTAACATATCCATTGGCTTACAGTTTGAGAAGCTAGCCCGAGTGCCAGATCCCTAGGAAGACCAGCAGCCACCCCTCCATCAGCCAAAGCTTCTATTGCTAAATATATGTATGCTGGTCCACTACCACTGAACATTCCAGGAAAAGAGAAAGTTACTAGAAATGGCCAATTAGCCCCATCTTTTCATCTCTATAAAGTATATGGCTTACAAAGGCATGAAGGGCAGTCAGGGGAACTTAAAACACTTAAACCTCAACCATGTCACAGATAAACCAAAAACTTTGCAATAAGAATTAACTACACAACAGTGAAACGTGAGAGAATTTAGTAAACAATACCTGAGGCCAGTGATTGCATCGAACAGTTTCTCATCAGCTGTCCACACCTTACCAATGGCTCCAAATAACTTGGAAATTAATTCTCCATCATCTTTAGTAGCTCCAGCCCCCAGGCTGATAACTATGTATATAATAAGTATATTGGTAAAGTGCATTATCATTCTAAGTCGAGAAACCAATAAACTCAAAAATTGGATTTAACATAGAGTGGCAGAAAGGAAAATTATGAAACATGAAATAATCTGACAGAGAAAAGAGATTTGCAAGAGTAAGTCTCTATAAGTAAATGATACTTAACGATAAAGGTGTTCCAGATCTAAAAGGAGCTAGAAATTCGAAAATGATGTGGTTTGCCATTTATTTTCTCTGTTTAACGATCACAATGACAATGTGGATCAGATATGTAAATCTATCATGACGTGTTTTAATTCAAGTGAAGTACCAAGTTTTCAATCAAAACATTAACTCTAGAGTTGTTATGGGATATTAGGCTTTCTACAAGTCACACGTCAGAAGGCAAAGACAGGAGAGATAGGAACTGGCGTACCAGATGCCGCATTGCCAACAGCAGCCGGGGTGTTAGGCATAACTCTAATAAATCGACTGTGACCAGCCCACTCCTGGACAAATCAATTGACATGAATGAAGTGAAGTGACAAGAAGATAAATATGAAATCATAAGAATTACAAAATGTAACTGCACAAAAGGACTTTCTAGCCAAACACGAGGCCTAAGGTTGCACCAGTCGGTGATTACAACTTTTGAGAACCGTGTGAATCTCTATAAAGCAAAGGATATGAAGTCATGGAACTTATCATAAAGCATTAAAAAATTAACTGTGCCCATAGAACATAGATCCAAAAGCCTCAAAGATAATATACACCAACAAAGTGAAAAAATAACTTAGAAGGATTCAATTGTGCAAACCTGCAAATCTTTTAGTTTAACTCCAGCAACAACTGACACCAAAAGCTGCTTCTCTGAGAGGAGTGACCTCAACTGCAGTACCACGCCTTCAACTGCAAATATGTTAAGCATCAAGAGAATAGAGGTACTCAAAGCAACATCTAAGAAATCATCTTCTAAAATGTTCAGTGAACGAATTACAAAAAAGTTGGAAAAGGAACCAGAAGCAAACAAAGATCTGCTAGATTTTTTTTCAGTAGATTATTTTGAATTTTATGATGAGCATGGACAGATGTGTTTCTATCCTGGATATTCAGCAATTAATTCAAGTAAACCACAGTATCCACTAGCCACAGATTGAAATATTTTAGTTCTAGTGTGTCCAACATAAGTTTCCATATGTTTGCTGAATATTTTACATATACATTATTCAAACAACCAGTAACTCTAAAAGGAATGATTGAAATAGATGTTGCCAACTTTTAAAATCGTTTACTCAAGCTTTGAAAATAGCCTAATTTTATTTTTATTTTTTTGAAAAACCACACATGATGATTGTCGGCAACAACCCTAAAAAAGAGAATCATAAAAATAACAGGTTGTGTTCTTCCCTCACCAGCACCAGCCCCTGTGCAAAGTGGAAAGATAAAGAAAAATGAGGTTATAGACCAGATATGTTCATCTGGATATAATGATTGCGACAAATTCATGTTAATTGTAAATTTAGTCATTTTGCATTTCAATAGCTCATCTGAAAAATAAGAAGAAAGAAACTAGACTTATTTAATCTCCTCGTAGCACCTTGATAGATTGAAAGTTTCCAGAGACTACGACAAATAAAACTCACAGGAAGGGACCAAACAAAAGAAGACAACAGGGGAAATGGAGCAAATAGATAAGCTAGAACAATACCAACTTGAGGCTTGACAGATAATATGACAACATCACTGTCTTCAACTACCTGCCTTTGAGAAACATAAAGTAAATGAAAAGATATCTATCCATATTCATGACAAGCTAATAATAATGAGCTAACAAATATTCCACAATGGGTTAAATCAAAAGCAATCAACCCTACAGCTCTATCTCAGTGACAAAAATTTGTCACAAGTTTACAACAATGTGAGCAAAACACATTGAGGTGCTAGAGGGAATTCTGAGGATTAAGCTGAAATTGGGACCACTCGTAATTTCAGTCAAGAGCATATAAATCATAATAAATCTAAAATAAAATTATCTACGCATGCATAAGAGTCGAGAAATTCAGATATTGCAGCAACTGTCCGTAAATATTTTCATAAGACATCCATTTAATTTCACTGCTGGCGGGAGAAAAACTAACATTGAAGCATAGCCAGAATAAGATTTATATGTATTTCAACTATTAATTCAATTGCCATAGCCAAAGAATCAACCACATCACATACTAAAGTTTTTATTTTTGTATTATGCACATTTTTGGCACCAATGGACATTTGAACTGCTCTTAAAGATTGCATTCAAGGGAGCCTCTCTGACCTTTGTGCTTAGAACTGCATCTAACAACAATGCAATCAATAAATCATATCTTTATATGAACTAGAATGAGTTTTTAAGAAATTAAATTTGGAAATTATAAAATCTACAATTACTTATTTGATTGGGAATTATCCAGCCACATATTTTTTGATATGTGCACACAAAAACTTGGACATATCAGCCAAAAGCATCTAGAAGCAGTGTACGTTTTGGTGAACACAACAGAGTGACAACTTTTCCTTTGCGTCAAGATTTTGCTGTTTTAAAATTTTTACAAACACCCCGCACACATACAAATAGAAAGAGAAACTGAGGATAGTGGATACCTGACTGTTGTGATCTAGGACTTTGACGCCAAAAGATTCAAATGCAGTACGACGATCATATCCAAGATGTGCAGTTCTAATCTGGGAAGCAGGCAACAACCCTGATTTGATTACACCTCTTGCAATGCTCTCAGCCATTTTTCCAGCCCCGATAAAACCTAGCTTGTAGGAGTCGCTTGGAATCGGTACAATGGTCATCATTGAGAATTTTCTGGAAAAAAGCTAACAACTGACATCGTGTTAGATATGAATAAAAATGTCTTTCAGATAAAAGCACCAGCAAAAGAGCATGGTAAGTTGCCATGGAAAACAGAGTGAAAGGAGGGGGGCAGTGTTACTAAGTAAAGAAGATTATAGAAATCTCAATTTGTCCTCCAGAAAGTAAGTTCTTTCCAACTGTTTTGGTAAACACCAACCCCATAACATTGTGAAAATGCAGCAACGCAAAAAATTCCCAGCAGTAGCTATTATAATGAGGAAAATGCTCAACGTACACCGAGGTGTCCAACATGGTGTTCAAAATGGACACCCGGCACCTCGGTATTGGCCGAGGTACTGGTGGGCCCTGACGTGGCAGGCACCTCGACCAATGCCGAGGTGCCGTGTGTCCATTTTGGACACCATGATGGATGCCACAATGTACCCCAAGCATAACCCTTATAATGAAATGATATAAAAATGTGGTTTTGCCGCTCGTCCATTAAGTTTTACCACTTTGTTGACAAGAAAATGTGTTGGCAAAAATGTATTGGATGAAGAGATGGTCTTTTTTTTTGGTCAAACGGCAAAAAAGATGTAAAATAGAGTGCATATTGTAAAAATGTTCATGTGTATAAATAACCCCGGAGATTAGGATAATATTTCCTCGAAAACAATGAAATTTATGCAAAAATGTTTGGCAACAACAATTAAGCTATTTGTACATTAATTTTGACATTCTTGTTGATAGATGGGTGATGTGGCAAAATTGTGAGGGTTGAATTAAATGTGTAAGGTGTCAAAGATGGCGTGAGATTGTGTCAAGTGTAAATTCGGTAAATCAGGTGTAAACTAGGATGTACATATATAGCAGGATTATTGGCAACACAATGCATCAAATATACTCCGATATGCAAACTCAGAAAGCAATTTTCAGAAATAAATCATACAAGATTCTCTGGTTCTTTCTGTCAGAAGGTATTCCAATGGAGTTGGGACTAAAAATGATAAAAACCATTGTTTTGTTTTACTCGTTACAATTAATACCCATAATATTCCAACAAATCAGCAACGAAAAATTTAATCGTGAACAGAATAATTACAGAAATGAGCAGAACAAAGGTCCAACATTTTGAAAGATGTAGATGTGATTAAAAGCTGCTACCTTGAACTACTAATGACGAAAAAATCAACATAAACACCAAGAACCAAAAAATAAACGTAATTTAGAATGCAATTAATTGCGTAATGCGTCAAGCTATACACATTTGGAAGAAGGACTACAAATAAATCTGCTAAACATAAATACCCTTTATTTGAATTTTCTGCGTCGGGGGCCGAAAGTTTGTTTTGGTTTCGTGTATTCTGTTTCTGTGTCGAAAGAATTGATTTTTTTAGGTCTATTATCATTTTAAAATCTCATTATCTAATTAATAAACTTTTTAATATTGATTTTGGTTTTTTATGTTGTTTGCAATTTTCTTTTATTTTTAATATTATAATAATATCTTTTGGGTCAAAGTACGAAATAAACGTTAGAAATAAAAGGTTCGGTTTCCATTTCTTGGATTCATTGTCATTCTCAATGGAGGCGAAGGTTTCTCAACTCTGGGAGTCCATCACCAACTTCTTCAACGGTGGCGACCACATCCCTTGGTCCACTTCTGACGCGATTCTCGTAAGGATCTCTGTTTTTTCGCTGTACCAAATTTGATACGATAAGAATAATGACCAAGAAATAGAAATTTTCTTTTTTGGCTTTGACAAGATTGGTTGGGGGTTATTTTTTTTCCGTTTTGCCTTGATATGGGTTTTCAATACCTGGTCTAAAAATCGAAATTCCTTGAGTAAGTTGATATTTAATTTAAATGTTTTTGGAGTTTAGTATTTTCAGGTTTGATGGGTTTAAAGTATTAAAGGTAGATTTGGTTGAATGAGATTGATAATTGGTTAATTCAGATATTACAGTTCCGTTAATTTTTAAATGGTTTTGAGGTTTGAGCTCTGTAGAATTTGAGGTGTCTTCAAGCACTGCATAAGTTTGTTAACGGCAGGCAAATCTTTGATGGTCAAAAGGTTCCAATTTCAGGCTCTAGACCTGAGGTGATCCTTTTTATTTAGTGTGGCGGAGATTGAGATGGTATTTAAAGGTGTTGGCAGTGCTTTTTGGAAGGTATTTTGAGGGTTTGTATGAATCTCGTCAAGTTCTTGGATGATTTTTGAGGATTGGGTGTAGCTAAACTCCCAAGGGCTTGTGGAATGGATGATTTGAGCTGACAACAACAGACCAAGTCATATTTATTGGGGCAAAAGTTGAGATTTTCAGGGAAGAATGAAAGTGGACTTGTATTGATTGCCATGGTCCACCACATGCATACAAGTGTGAAAGGAACAAATCATATTTTCTACAGGAGGCATTCAATGAATTAAAAGTCATAATGTATGTGTCCATTGATTAATTTTTTTTGTGGGAGTCGCCCCCCTTTTTTTCACCTTTTTTTGAAATGGTGGTGTTAGTTTTGAGGTATTATTTCATGACGAATGCCAACCTAGACTTCTTAAATGCCGGCATGGTGTTTTTCATTCTTGAATGTATACTTGGAAGTTCTTTGATCTTGCACGTTGCACCAACAAGAGTGTTCTTTGGACATGACGTCCAGAGCTGCAGGCCGGTTGTAGTTTATCAGATAGTATTCATATAGGTGTATGAGCTAAGGTGATTGTGGATCAAATATGTTAAGCACTGTGTCTGTCTTCACAGCTGATAATTAGTTAATTATATTTATAAGATAATACTTCTGTACTTGCGAAATTCCGAGGTCAATGTTCACTGTTTTTTGCTGAACGAAACTTCTAGATATCTTAAAATATACTCTCGATTGCTAGAGCTACTTAGTTGGAATGTATTCTAAAGATTATTTTAGATGATATGATGGTCTCTGGAATCTGGATATTAGATTAAATCTAATTGACCGATATAAGAGCGTAAATCAATGGGTTAACACCCACATCTTAACAACATAATCAGTAAAACAAACCTGGGATCATTGCTAAAGGTCCAGAATGCCTGGGATGAAGGTTTCTCCTCCTCAGAGTAGTCCAAGCTATTGCATTCTAACATTGATTCAAGAGTGTTGAATATTTGAGCTCTCGAAACACATTAGAGGTTTGGCATATTATTCAGGTTATTCTTGATCTGCCAATTGAACCTTTCATAATGCAACATGTGTGTTAGATTCTCTCTCTTTTTAACCTATAGCCAGAACGGATCCAGGAAATAAGGATACAAGAGCTGAAATCTAAGAAAGTCTCCTTCACTTTACTGTTTAACCACGCTCCCAAACTTAAATATTGGACAATTATTAACTAGTTTTTCATAGAGAGTTCTAAATACAGCCAAACAAGCTTGTTCAAGTGTTTAATTTCAAATCCAAAGAAAAAGGATGCAATTTCATCCATTATTTGACGTTTGTCCTTAGATCATCTCCATACAAAAATGAATAACATACTCATCACGACCAATGGCGGATCCAGGATTTTGAGTCAGCACGAGCGACCGTTGAGGGCCAATCGTCGGCCCAATAAAATATTACAAGCTCGTTTGATGTAATTTTTTTTTTTTTTTTGGGTAAAAAATGCATTTTGGAAAATAGTGATTTGATGGAAAATATTTGGTTAAAAATAAGAAAAATTTTTGAATTTCGTGTAATATTATTTTATTAAAAAATATATGGTTGAAAATAAAAAAGGGAAAAATATATTCTGAAATAAATGGGAATCAAGCAAGACCTAAAATTTAAACATAACAATTATTTTGTTAAAATTCAACATATATAATTTTGTTAAAACAATAAACTATATTCATCAAATGACATTGTTGCCAAGTTTTATATAATTCAAAAGAAGAGCACGAGTTCAAATTTGTATTGTTGCATTAAAACAAGCTAAAATCTAATATATAAAAATTTGTTAAATCTATTATCACAATTCAACAACCGGCATAATGGTCAAACCATTAATAATTTTAACAATAGCCCCAGGTTCAAATCCCCTCCTCCTCATTCCATTAATTTTTGGTAAAAATTGTAATACTAAAAAAATAGAACAAAAAAGTTGATTGATGAAGAATTGAACCTGGGACCTCTAAGAAGTAAAAACCCGAACTCACCCACTTGGCCAGAGGGTATGGTTGAACAAAAAGTGATAATCAGAAGTATAACCTAAAAATATTCATCTATTCTCAACCAAAAAAATTGGTTGTCGGCGGATCCAGCACGCGCGGCCGCTGGTGCTCGCCAGGTGCTGGATCCGCCACTGATCACGACCCCCTGTACATCACAATTTAGGTGGAACGTAGTTTCTCTAATTATCTATATTTGTTCCTAAGTCATCTTAATACAAAAATGAATATTCTACCCTTTAAAAAAATTGGACCTTTCCCCCTCTTTCCCAATTCGCAAAATGATAAGACTTCAAAGGCATCAAAGATTCAAAATTCCATATGCTTTCCTACCATTTAACTGGTTAACTCATCTCAATGAACGTCATTCACACATTTTTCCAGTTCACCTATGGATTAATTAAATTTTAGTTAATATAAATTAAGCCAAAGTACAAAGATCAATTTGAAATAGATAGAATACTATCCAAACATGTCATTAGTTAGCTTTATCTTTCCACTACACCAGAAACATAAATCAAAAGGAATTTAAAATTCTGGAATCATAATTCAGAAACAATCATATACTAGAATTTAGTTCGGCTGTTATATCAAAAGGATATATAATATATGAATAACAAAATCAGTAGAAGTCACATCTTTAACAACCCTATCTTAGAAAATAACACTCACATATAGTTCAATAGCCACATATCATTTGCAACCTTTAAAAATTGGCCATTTTCCCCTCTTTTTAAATTTGCAAAATGACTCGCCTCTAAATGCATAAAAAAATTCAAAACCACATTCACCACCAAAAAACATAAAAACAATGGATAAAAAATAAATCTTACACATTCACTGCCTAATTAATAATAAATGCAACCTTTAAAAATTGGCTATTTTCCCTTCTTTTTAAGATTTATTCCTTTGAAAGAGATCCCAGGTGCAGTGCCTATTCAATCTGAATCGGATCTTGCAGTTTCAGACCGGTCCTTTAGGTTATTCACCACCATATTAAATAAATGCAACCAAATTAAAGCATCAAAATGAACTAAAAATAATAATAAAGAAAAAGAATACAGTTGCTCACAAGTCATAGACATGGACTGGGATGGTGACGGGTGACGATGTGACACTCACAAACTAAAACTCAGAGGCGGTAGTCGACGGTCACATTCACAAGACTCACAATCACAACACAAAAGAGTCTGAAATTTGGAAATGGAAAAATTTCGTGATTTAGCCTCTGATTGACTATGGATTAGAATGGGTATTTGGATTTTGGACAATGGGCCTAATTGCAAAATCCTAATGTTTAAAAAAGGGATTGCCCAAACTAAAAGCCCACTACAAAAAAGTCCTAAACCAAACATTCATTTCATTTCCTTCACAGCTTCACCTTCCCTTGCATTTCAATCTTCACATTCTGCCGGTGCCAATCACCATGGACGGAATTCAAGGTTCAACAAAGCCAGCACGAGCAACCACGCCCACTTGCCGGGTGCAAGCTCCATCCCTACTCACCAATTATTAAAGCTTCGTCACTACGCCTCCAACAAGATGAGGTTTTGAGGGACGAGGCTTGACCATAATGACTTTGCATGGGAAGAGCATTTGGAATGACGTAGTATTGACCATCTTACACTAAAGGCAACCTTTAAAAACTGGCCATTTTCCCCCTAGCACCTCAATGTGTTTTGCTCACATAGTTGTAAACTTGTGACAATTTTTTGTCATTGAGATAGAGCTGTAGGGATGATTGCTTTTGATTTAACCCATTGTGGAATATTTGTTAGCTCAGTATTATTAGCTTGTCATGAATATGGATAGATATCTTTCATTTACCTTGTGTTTCCCAAAGGCAAGTAGTTGAAGACAGTGATGTTGTCATATTATTTGTCAAGACTCAAGTTGGTATTGTTCTAGCTTATCTCCATTTCCCATGTTCACTTATTTTGTTTGGTACCTTCCTGTGAGTTTTATTTGTCTTAGTTTCTGGATACTTTCAATCTATCAAGGTGCTACAAGGAGATTAAATAAGTGTGTAGGTTCTTTATTCTTATTCTTCAGTTGTGCTATTGAAATGTAAAATGACTAAATTTACAAGTAACATGAATTTTTCGCAATCATTATATTCAAATAAATGTATCTGGTCTCTAACCTCATTTTTCTTTATCTTTCAACTTTGCACAGGGGCTGTGGAGGGAGGAGCACAATCTGTTATTTTTATGATAATAAACGTATCTCTTTTTTAGGGTTGTTGCCCACAATCATCATATGTGGTTTTTCAAAAAATTAGGCTATTTTCAAAGCTTAAATAAGCGACTAACAACTCCTATGAAGATTTTAAAAGTTGGCAACATTTATTTCAATCAGTCCTTTTAGAGTTAATGGTTGCTTGAATGCTATATATGTAAAACATTCAGTAAACATGTGGAAAATTACGTTGGACACACTAGAACTAAAATACTTCAATCTGTGGATAGTGGATACTGTGGTTTACTTGAATTAATTGCTGAGCATCCAGGATAGAAACACATTTGTCCATGCTCATCATAAAATTCAAAATAATCTATTGAGAAAAATCTAGCAGATCTTTGTTGGCTTCTGGTTCCTTTTCCATCTTTTTCGTAATTTGTTCACTGAACATTTTAGAAGAAGATGTCTTAGATGTTGCTTTGAATACTAAGCTATTCTCTTGATGCGTAACATATTTACAGATAAAGGCGAGGTACTGCAGTTGAGGTCACTCCTTTCGGAGAAGCAGCTTTTGGTGTCAGTTGTTGTTGGAGTTAAACTAAAAGATTTGCAGGTTTGTCACGGGCGGATCCAAAAAATCATGTTGGGGTGGGGGGTGGGGGCTGAAATTTAAAATATATGTGCACAAATTTTTATAAAGTATACAACATAAAATTTCATTACGACATTACCTACTAAAGTTGTGTCCGTCGAGCTTTAACTGCATAAAACTCGTCTATAATAGAATCTACTTACAAAACAATTATTCTAAAACTAATCAAAATTGATACCATAAATAACCTAACCGGGTAACCCATTAGATATGAATCTCAATCTCAATTCTCAAACTGAATAATGAAAACAATAATGCGTAAAAGCAATAAGAGAGTGATATGTCATTTCAACAAACACCTTGTCTACAAGTGTAAGGAAGAGATGCACGAGTCTAAATAAATTGAATTTCAAAACTTTTTGTGTCTTACCACCCAAAAATGCAAGTAAATAAAAATTCTGCTGAGTTTAATAATTAGATTTTAGCCTGTAAGAATTCGAAAAGCTCTCTTTCAAAAACTCCAAAATTCAAAAATCAGCATATAATCTTGGCCTGTTAGTATACAATTTTACACTTTTACTTTGCCTTGTTCCCACAATTGACAATCACAATCCCACTAATTTAATAATTATTACCCAAAATCTAGTCTTCTATATCCATTTCCTGATTTTCATTCAGTCGACAACTCAACACTAGTTTGGGAAAATCCGAAAATGTTCCTATTGTGACTTATTCAATGAAAAAGAATCCAAATAGAAATGACAATACCTATTACCTCAGAACGTGGTGCCACAAGTAATGTTTTCTTTCTGGCTTGCAGAATGCAGGGGGCTTCACCGTTTCAGGCTCTTCACTTGCGCGTTTCCATAATCAATTGGAAAAATGAGAATAGATAAGAAGTATGAATGAATGATTTGGTGGGTTAGTAGGGAGCGGGTGTGTTTAAAGTTTGAGGGTTAAATTGGTGTGTGGGCTAATTTTAAAAATTGGATTAAAAGTTGATCCATTTAAGTTGGGCTAAAATAGTTAAATATTGAAAATGGTAGGTAGGTGGCTAATCTTAAATTTGGGCCGAACTATAATGTTTTTTCCAAAAAAATTACACATAAAAATGTTTTCACTTTGTTGGTGTATATTATCTTTGAGGCATTTGGATTTTTGTTCTATGGGCACAGTAATTCTTTATGATAAGTCCCATGACTTCATATCCTTTGTTTTATAGAGATTCACATGGTTCTCAATAGTTGTTGGTCCAACCATAGGCCTCGTGTTTGGCTAGGAAGTCCTTTTGTGCAGTTACATTTTGTAATTTTTATGACTCCATATTTATCTTCTCGTCACTTCACTTCACTCATGTCAATTGACTTGTCCTGGAGTGGCTGGTCACAGTTGATTAACTAGAGTTATGCCCAACACCTCGGCTGCTGTTGGCAATGCAGCATCTGGTACACCAGTTCCTATCTCTCCTGTCTTTGCCTTCTGACTTGTGACTTGTAGAAAGCCTAATATTAGAGTTAATGATTTGATTGAGAACTTGGTACTTCACCTGAGTTAAAACACGTCGTGATAGACTTACATATCTGCAGAGCCGGACCTGAGTATAGGCTCAATAGGCTGCTGCCTCAGGCGTAGCTCTCCAAGGGGGTCCAAAAAAAAAAAAATTCCATTTTTTTCTTTTTTTTTGGTAAAACACACTAATTAACGTAAAAGAATCCTCCCATAATTGAGATGTTTTGTAAATGTCTTTTACGTTAAGTTTTAAGTTAGCAATTGGTTGTATAATACATCGTTGGATTATGATTTACGTTGATCTGGGGGCCCAAGTTATCGAGTTCGCCTTGGGCCCCTGATCACACGACCGGCCTTGCATATCTAATCCACATTGTCATTGTGATCGTTAAACAGAGAAAATAAATGGCAAACCATATCATTTTCGAATTTCTAGCTTTTTTTAGATCTGGAACACCTTTATTGTTAAGTATCATTTACCTAGACACTTCCCCTTTCAAATCTCATTTTTCTGTCAGATTATTTCATGTTTCATGATTTGCCTTTCAGCCACTCTATGTTAAATCCAATTTTTTGAGTTATTGGTTTCTCGATTTTGGATGATAATGCGCTTTTACCAATAGACTTATTATATACGTAGTTATCAGCCTGGGAGCTGCAGCTACTAAAGATGATGGAGAATTAACTTCCAAGTTATTTGGAGCCATTGGTAAGGTGTGGACAGCTGATGAGAAACTGTTCAATGCAATCACTGGCCTCAGGTATTGTTTCACCGTTGTGTAGTTAATTCTTAATGTAAAGTTTTTTGGTTTATCTATGACATAGTTGAGGTTTAAGTGTTTTGAGTTCCCCTGAGTCCTGACTGCCCTACATGCTGTGTAAGCCATATACTTATAGAGACGAAAAAATGGGGCTAATTGGCCTGTTCTTAGCCTTCTTTTTTCCTGGAATGTTTGGTGGTAGTGGACCAGCTCACATATATTTAGCAATAGAAGCTTTGGCTGATGGACGGGTGGCTGCCGGACATCCTAGGGATCTGGCACTCAGGCTAGCTTCTCAAACTGTAAGCCGATGGAATATGTTACTTTATCATGCTAAATTAAACATTTCTGTCAGCTTATTATTCAAAAATACGAAATTGATTAATGCAATGTTAACCCCCCCCCCCCTCCTTCAGATAAGCTTGAATTGTTGAATTGTCGAATTGTCTTGATCCATCTCATCTAAAAGCTTGAGTTGTTAGAGGAGAGAAACTTATTTATTTGGACATATGTCTTCTAACACGACTCCTCACATATAGACTTAGATACCCTTTTTTTCCACATCAAATTCTTGAATTCAGGACGTGTTCATGCTCTGCTTCATGATGAACGATTTGTTTATTCAAATTATGTCTTCTGCAAAATGTACTTTTCAATTATATCTTCTTGTATAGTGCCTGAAAGCGTCGAAACTTCATCAACCTCAACCACTGAACTGTTGCAGGTATTGGAAGCAGCATCAATGGCAGTTAATACTGGAAAGCACCCCGGTTAGCTGAAAGATGACGTTGCATCTCCTGGAGGCACAATTATAGCTGGCATTCATGAGTTGGAGAAAGCTGGTTTTTGGGGAATTTTGATGAACGCAGTCGTTGCTGCGAACAACCGTAGCCGAGAACTTTTTAATGACTAGTTTTGCCGTATTCAATGGATTAGCTTGCTCAATCTTATTTCCTTTAGACCTTACACTATTGGTTTTTCCTTTCATAAGATGATGATGTTTCTATCAACTCGTCTTTACATGTTATCAGTAAATTTCCTTGAACAAGCATGATTGAATATCGTGAATGGTTAATCGATCGGAAACAATAATTTGCCACACTCGTCTTACTTTGCTCTCTGTTAACTTTGGTGTTCTGAATGAAGTCTCGAGACGTAGCAATTGAGCAAACTTCTTGAGGACATGGTTTGTATCTCCAGATTCTTAGCATTCAAAATATGAATTCGAGAACTCAAAACAATTGTTTTCACTCATAGTATGATCGTTAGATTAACATTTGTAATAACACCATGATAAATTTGATGTATAATCATACAAACATAAACACATCTCAACTAAAACTTGAAGAGCGAAATTTGGAACACGCACCTGAGGGATTCATTGCATAATACGTTTGGAGAAAAGTTAAGCAAAGAAGGAAAGCGGTAGCGAGTAAGGCAATGAAAGTCCACTGATTACGAAATGTATAATGTTACATGTACATAATCATTTATAGATTGATATACAGATTGATTGCACGAAATTATGTTAAAAGTTAACAGATTTTACTCTCCTTTTTCCCTCTATTCCAAGCTGTATTTTTCTCTTTATCTGTGCATCAATTTATAAATAATTGTGTTCAAGTAGCATTATTCTCATATCATCAGATACAAGGGCAAGGGCAAGGTCAAGGTCAAGTTCGCAAATATCAATCTCTTTGATTACTTCCACAAATTGTTCATAGCTTTTGAGGGTGTTCAACAATTTTATTTATTTATTTATTTATTTTTATCTTTTTTTCTTGCAATTCCTTCACATCTTCAGGTTTAACAATGAACGATTTCAAGAACAAACATAACATACTATAGAATGTCATTGTCCCTGCTTCATATGCAATCATGTGTATAAGAAGAGCTTGGAATGGGAAGTGAAAAAGCCAAACTGAGAGTTGAAGTTGTCCATAGGATTTGAACTTAATATTCTTCAAACAATATGAACTAGATCTGAAGTAGATGCTTTTGCTTTGAGATGGGTGACTAAACGAGATCGACGATTAAATGTAAGAGTTTTACCCACAATTTCTTGAAAAACCACACGAGTTCTTCAATACCAAATCGATAGCAATCTATATGAAGTGCTATTTGTATTTAAGGGATAAGACTTAAAACTCTTAGAAAGAAGGGTTATGGGCTTGCTACTTCCAGATTTGGCCCTCGCTTGCTTACTTGTTGCAAAGACGTGACGCATTTTTTTTTTTTAAGGCAAAAAAAGGCCCAGGTTATAGCATTCCTTTCTATATCGTCTAAAATTTCTACTTCTACTAATATTTCATGTATTTCTACTAAGATAAGTCTTGGTGTACATAAAATATGTATATAGGGTTGTCCACAGCCCTCACATGAGGCGGGCATTGGACGCCCCTATGTACCCAAATTATGTACACCAAGCACAACTCTTTCTACTAATGGTTCTTATTGAGCTACATTACAATAAATCTTCTTTTTTTGTAGCATTGCTTATATGATTCTACGAGAACTGGCCGCCACTATGATCAGGGCTTAGATTTGCCCATATCCTACACTCTAAGCATCCTTCAACACACTTGTCCAAATTAGAATACGTGTAGTTGATATATATATTGAACTTCAACAATAAGTACATGAATAAATTAGTTCAACTTACAATACAAAATTAATTAATTGAGCAAAACTCTACTAACTTCTTGTATTTGAGTTTTGAAAACTAAATCCCTAATTTGAAGATGAATAAAGCAAAAAGAAAGTAATTTGGAGCTTTGACTGACCAAATGATAGCATTGTATGAACGCTGGGAAATTACAGGACTCATTGGGCGTACTTGAAAAGTTAAGTGGATGATTGCACGAATTTTTGGATCTAAATTAACATTGGAAAAGTTTGGGGACCAAGCTGAATACTTTGAAAAGATGAAGGACCAAATTTGAAGAAACATTGATGAGATAGGAAGTTGGAGGTTGAAAGTTCAAGGACCAATTGTGCAAAAAATGCACAAAAATTAAAAATGAAGGGACTTGACGCTGGATTAGCGAGAATTGCATGTATACGTTTAATTTTTGGAGCAATACGTACAGCGCGTGCCGCCACCATAGTATTAGGTTTTACATGCATGAAAAATGAAAAACTTAAATTTGGTTGAATGAGGTTGTTTTGAGCCCCAATTTTAGAGTGCCTATAACTAACTAAATAAATAAATAAATAAATAAATAAATATATATATATATATATATATATATTATTCCACAATAATTCTTGAAGTAAAACTACAAGAAATTCTTCAAGGCTTGGAAGATTTTGAAGAGGAAAAAGGAGGTGTCGAAGATCGTTGCTGAGATTCAAGATTAAGGATTGTACCTAGCTTTTCTTCTAATTTATCTGGATTAAATTCAAGATTAAGGGTTTGTACCCAAATTATATATATATATATATATTATTCCACAATAATTCTTGAAGTAAAACTACAAGAAATTCTTCAAGGCTTGGAAGATTTTGAAGAGGAAAAAGGAGGTGTCGAAGATCGTTGCTGAGATTCAAGATTAAGGATTGTACCTAGCTTTTCTTCTAATTTATCTGGATTAAATTCAAGATTAAGGGTTTGTACCCAAATTGTCCTCTAATTTATCCAGAATATGTAATCATTGTCTACCTAGTATTTTTTGGAATAAGCTAATTTTTAATTTTTGTTGCTATGATTATTGATGAACTTTGTCAATTCTCTAAATTCAGCAAATTGCTCATTTTTAGTTTTAGGTTTTGATTGTATGATTTCTTATTATTGAATTTTTTTTTTTTTTACATCCT